AGGCTCCTTGCCTTTTTTGAATTTGCATATGTTTGTAGCACGCTCGAACACACGTGCAACATGTCCCAGAGTTTTGTTTCGGAGCAAAGCACAAGGATGATTTGGAGAGAACTCAGAGTCACACGGGAACTTACCAACATTGTATGCAAGGTCATTAGCGCACTTCCGAAGGTTCCGTTCAGAGCAAAACACATGACTAGACCTGTGACCCATATACAATAGATCAGATCTGAATAAATCAGCGCATTCCAACCAATTGCACAGGGACTAGATGAAGTATCAAACTGTTTTTTGCCCATGAGTAGTGGCCATGATTAGTCCAGGGATTTCCGGAACCAAGCAGTTTCTGTTGATCGCTTTTCGGGATGGACACGTTGTGGGATCGTGAATGTGTATTTATTTGTTTCTTTGTTTTGTTTGTCTGTCTGTCTGTCTGTGCCTGCCTGCCTGCCTGCCTGCCTGCCTGCCTGCCTGCCTGCCTGCCTGCCTGCCTGCCTGCCTGCCTGCCTGCCTGCCTGCCTGCCTGCCTGCCTGCCTGCCTGCCTGCCTGCCTGCCTGTCTGTCTGTCTGTCTGTCTGTCTGTCTGTCTGTCTGTCTGTCTGTCTGTCTGTGTGATTATTGTAGTTCTGATAGCCGATGCCTTGTTGCATCGGCCTTGTGTGAGCAGCTTCATGAGCAGCTGGCCAAGAGAATGCCTTTACAGGAGGCTTCTTTCCATGCTTTTCCACAGGTGCCCGCCTTTTCCCTATGTTCCACAACTCTCTTGGGTCAGCTGTGTCTCCGTTTGCAGAGAGTGCTCGTTTGGCTCCGGCTCCCAAAACCAGCGAGGCTGAGAGCTGCGGCATGGAGATCAGCCCCTACAGGCGGAAGACCCGCGCGAGCGCATCAAAAGTCAAACTGTGCCGATTTTTTCTTTAGGAGCAATTTACCTGCCCTGAGCCGGAAGGCTTTCAGAAGTCCGATCCTGCAAATGGAACCTCGGAATTGTCTAAACGAACTCATTGCATGCCCTCAGACTAACGGCTGGAAGCTCCCAGAAGGCCGATCCTGTAAAGGGAAAGTCTTCCAAAGGGGTGGGAGCTTCCATGTCAGCCTGGGGTACATTGCGTTTCGGGTGTAAACCGCGGAGTGGAACGCTCGATTGTTTAACGCCCGACATGAAACACGGTAGGATCCGGAGCCCGCTTCGCAGGCACCAGCGGGCTCTGGAAGGCTTGCAGCGCCTGCAAAAAACGAAGGCGCTGTCCACCGGTGAGGCGGGGCGGATTTGCTGGCCGTGGGTCAACACCAATGGTGCACCAGCCATTTTAGTCTATTTTAGAGGGGATTGGGATGTTCACTGGGGGTACGCGGTGTTTTGTTTAGTGCCATGTTTTCGATGCAGAGGTGCTGGCTGGAGTGTTACCTCTACGCCCCTCTTCGTTTTTTGGCCCAAAAAGAGCCACTAAGTTCACCAGGTTTTTGAGGAGGGTTGGGGGTTTGATCTGGGATCCTTACTGCTTTTGTTTTTTCAATAGAGCGCGTATTCGCTGGGGTTTTGCGCGGGGTTTTGCGAGGGTCGGTCCACTGTGCGTTGGTTTACGAGGGTTTCACGGCGATTCACAGGTTCACAGACTTGCTTGGCTCAATGCGCTGAAGTGACTCTTGCTCTCGAACCCCGTTAAGGTGAAAACCAAGCGGAGAAACTTACTGTTCAGTGATTTCTGAACCCAGATTGCAACAGAACCCATGTTCCGAACCCACTGCACGCTTTGCTTCGAATCATTGCAAGCCCGAGCCCTCATTCTAAGCCCGAGCCCCCATTCTACGCCCACCAAACCCACTCCGAATCCGCTCTGAATTCGAGACGAAGTGAGCGCTCTGCTAGAGCTGCTCACGACCTTGGTTCAGTTGAGAGTGAGAATGCGGTTGAGCGGAGGTTTTTGCTTTAAGTTTACACGAGGTTCACTTCGATTTGGCACAGAATTGAGAGTTGGGCTTCACTTTTCCGGCCAGAGAGGGAAGGAGAGTTTCGAGTTCACCGCTTTGCTTGGAGGGCCAAGCAACCCATTGCAACAAACATACCAGTAGCGGCATGATCACAGCAACCGCGCGACCCTAAGCCCTCTCAGTGCTATGCAACATACATATGATTTGCCGGCCCTCCGAGCCTAACCCTTGCCCTTGACCAAGCACACCAATCCCAAGCACAGTGGTGGACTGCGTGGGCTGGAGGTTCATTCATTGGTGGGGGAAGGGGTACAACCACAGCACCTGTCAATAGAAGTCATGTGCGAATTGGAGCATAGGCCACGAACAAGTCGAGACACCAGAAATGTCGAGACCAAAGACATTTTCTTTGCTCGCAACTCTTCTTTGCACGATGGGATGGACCCGACGCTCCCGGGACTTGTGTTTTGGCCACGCCAAGACCAGGCGGCGCGGGTGATGCTGCTCTGCGGTAGCTGTGGGGACGTGGTTCCCCAGGAGTTATTGGAAGCCACGCACCTGATCCTCACCATGCGGAGGAGAGCGTCTCCGGTGGCCATGTTCCCAAGCGACAACACGTTTGGTTGGATTTGTTTTTGAGGCTACCCCGTTTGGTTGGTTTGCTTTGAGGGTACCCCTTTGGGTTGGTTGTTCTTTGAGGATACCCCTTTTTGTTGGGGACTTTTTTAAGGGTATCCCTTTTGCAGGTCAACCAACTGCCCAGATATTAACCCTTGTTGTTCGCCCCCTCAATTGACGCGCCAGTAGTTCCCTCTCAATCAAAGGATGGCCTTTGTGGCTCAAGATCAGGAGTTTTCCTTTGGCGTGTGGAAGGACACCCAAAGGAGGGAACACATTTAGGGAAATCTCACCAGGTGGATGTGGAATGTGGATGGTCATATTCATGTTTGATGTGAATCTCACCATGGCAGCCTGGGGGAAGTGTTTTTCTGATGTGCTCAACGTAAAAGAGAATGGACGGGCTCCTGCCGGCTGGGCCAAGCACTTGTTTCAAAGGGTTGGGTTACAGGAAATTCTACAGGAAAACAGCCTATTTAGATTGTTTTGGGGCCACTTCCTGTAGATTTTCCTGTAACCAAACCCTTTGATTGTTGGCGCATGTTTGAATCAGCTGTTTCCTTGCCATCATCTTAGCTTCCCTTCAACGCGCTCCAGGGTCTGGTTTGACACCAGGTTTCTCCGTCTCCGACTCACGGACTGAACGGTCCTCCAGCCGCACATGGTGCGCAACAAATGGGCAACACTGTAGGCCGCAAATACCAGCAGCCCAAACCTTTGCCCTATAGTGCCTGTGAGTGCCTGTTTTGTACAGCCCTCATTTGACATTTTCCCCAGAAGCGTTGATTGGGTTCTGCTTTAGACTGGGGGAGCCGCGAGGCGCAGGGTCGGAGATAAGGAAACGGAAATGAGCGCCACACGGGCGGAAAGACCTGCGAAGGTGCCGGGATGGTCCTGCACGATCGGTGCCTGGGAAAGGTCCTTTGGAAACAACGCGGGCCGAGGAATATGGAATTTGTGCCCAAGAGAATCGAGATCCCGTTGTTAGGAGACGGGGAGCCAGCAAGCAGCACTAGTCCGCCTCTCGCAGTTCCCCCACGCACCTTCTACGTCGCAGGCTTCACTTGTTTTGCTGGGCTGTGGCTCAAACGTGTCTAGATGTGCATCCTTGTACGACGCCGACAATCCATGCGTGTGCGCAGCCTTGACGACGGCGTTGTCGCCACCTCGTCCCAACAGCATCGTCGCTTCATGGCAAGGCGGGTTGGGCGAGACTCGGCGCTATGGCCAGAAGCAAAAGCTTGTTACGCTCAGGCTTCAGCAGGCGGAGTCAGCTACCGCCATGCCAGCACGCGACATCAAAGAAATATTGACAGCCCTTGGCCTTAGAGAGCCAAAGCACACAGCACATGAGACGTCACCGGCCTTCAAACATGGCAACCATTTGGAGACCCATTGACATGCGGACACACTTTTTGGAAAGTCGCCTCTAGCTCCAGCGCGCCGCGAAGGAGTACGACGGCCGTGCGGCAACTCTATCAAGCCCTGGAGGCCTATGGGCCATTGCCCAGTGGCCCGGGGCCTTGGGGCGAAATGTTCCGGCATTTAGAGGCGGAGCATGAACTACGGTGCGGCTTAGGTCTCTTTGTTCACGAGCTGCCAAGTTTGCAGCCTCAGGAACGGAGGGACCCACAGATTCCTGCCGCCCTACCTCCCTACCTGTGTACCTCCCTACCTACCTACCTACCTACCTACCTACCTACCTACCTACCTACCTACCTACCTACCTACCTACCTACCTGCGCACGCACGTAAATACACCCACACACACACCCACATGACTGGTAAACATTGTGCGGATTTCGAGTTGGGCTTGGCCTTTTCTGAGGGGACGTGGCGGACTGCAAAAAGAGTAGAGTGCGGCCACGATATCTCAGATGAAGAGAAATGGACAATGGAGGGAGTAGAGAGAGGGGCTGGGGAACTGGAGGCACCAGGAGCAATCAAGGGAAAAGGTGGCAGACATGTGCGTGGATATCTATGTATATATGTATACACACACACACGCTTTTGGTGAACCCGCCCCAGAGTGCCTTGCACGTCAGCAGCCGGATTTACAAACGACTGGCGTATCAAATGCATCGGTAAGTCTCCTGTGGTTGCACACCCACCGTTGAGTAGCGAGCAACATATACATCTTCTTGCCTTCTTACATGGATATACATGATGTAGCTTTGCTATTTATGTACCAACATTTTGTCTCTGTTCCGACCTACTCATTCAGAACGCCCGTTCTGCTTCAGTTTTTTTCTTGGACAGCTTCCGTTTGCGCCAACCATGCCATGTGTTTGCCAAGATTTCTACTTTCACTCCATCATGCAGACTTGGAGCCGAGTCAGCTTCGCAACGAAAAGACAACTCCCTGTTCGGGCAACTCAAAATTTGAATGAGGTGATTTTCCCATTTCTTTCCAGCAACAAAGATGACACTCACACCAAGTGTTTGCAACTTGGGGCGGTTCAAGGTACGTACGCATGCGTTAACCTGCGGGAGGCAGAATCGTGTGTAGTTTGATATGTTCCGTCACGCCAGCAGCAAGCGCTTCCAGAATCACCTTTGTCTTCTGCCCAGTGAAAGTAGATGTCGCTCTGGTCCACAAGTTAAATTGGTCGACACGTCCAGCATCACCAGTGCCTTGAAACGCTTGTCCACCTACTAAAGCTAGATGTCGTGCTAGTCCGTAGACGATATTGGTCGACACCAGGCACCCGCAGCAGTACCGGCGCTTGGTAAAGGAAACGCTTTCTCGAAAACGGATATTTTTCGATGGCATCAAACTTACTTTGTTAAGGCTATTCGACGGCATTTCATTGCCTTGCAGAATGAATTTAGAAATGCACACTTTGAGCCCGACAAAACTCGTTCTGCTTTTGACGGTCTTGGTTGACTCAAGTGGTCGACACCTCCAGCATCACCAGTGGCTTAGGCTTCTCCGCTTACTAGAAGTAGATGCCCTTGCCCGTACTCCAAAGTGGTCGACACCTCCAGTCACCAGTGTTTTGGTGTTAGCTCCACAAAATGCATATGCACTGCAATTGGTCACCAATAAGCGCGCGCATTCCGATTCAGACATTTCGTTCTGTCTGATTGGTGCCAGTCTATGAAATGCCGGAAGCTTTCTAAACCCCACGTTCGTTGTGGGTCGGCTGACAAGCGGGCCCCTGCATTCTTGTTCCAGTACAAACATATCTCATGTGGCATAAGATGAGGTGATTCTGGGTTTTGGCCCGGGTGGCAGAGGTGTTGCATTTGGATGTGTTCTTTTCAGGCCCGCACCGTAATTTTGTCAGCTGTCAAAAGGCCATACCAGTCACGTTTTGCGAAATGAAGGAGCCAAAAGGCGAGCGGAACTGCCGTGGTGGCCCCCCACTAGCCCTCGGACCCCGTAGCCTCCGCAGAGCCTCTTTGTCGACACGCATTTCATCGACCGAGATAAACGCTAACTTGTCGTGCGGTCAGGAACAAACGGTCAATATGTCTCCGAATCTCTCCCCTCAAGTCTATGCTTGCCTTTCGGTTTGGAGCTGGATGGATCTTGCATCAATCGCTGGGCTTTCCGGCAAATCGCACACGTCCGGCGCAGCTTTGAATTCAGGAATTCGCGGCCAGGCGTTAGGCCTTGGAGAATCCATTTGCAACGACTGACTCCTACACTGTTGGTATTTTAGTCCTTTTGGCCCAACTATGCGTAGCTCCCTTTTTTTGAGGGTACCCTTTTGAGGTTGAATGGAGACCAAAAGGAAGCCACCCGAAATTGTTGTTGACAAATGCAGCGTAGCAGCTAGAACAAGTATGAGTCTTCTGGGCTTGCAACCTTGGCGCGGTCGACATGGCAGACAGTGACGAGGACACGGAGGCTGCTTCTCTTCCGAGACTGACATTGGCAGCTGCCTAATAAACCATGACCTTTCTGCTAGGGAGCTTGACTCCTTTGAACATGGTCAGTGGTGTTTATATGTCTTCTTCCCTTCTACTTGCAATACTCTAGGCTGACTCTTGGTCGTCCGAAGTCCTCCTGCCGCTGGCATATCTTCTCAGCGATGTTGTTTTGATATGACTGACAGATCTAACACAACGCGACAAAGTTGCCGGTCTCAACTTTTGCGAGACATGAGTTGCTGATTTGTTTCTTGAGATCTCGCGACTTTTTCGCCTTTCGGTTTTTCCACAAGTGGCTCATTGCCCCCTTGGCCATGCCATGCCAACCGCCGGCGTCAGGCGAGCCCGGACGACTGGCAGAGCTGGGAGCCGCTGGTGTACAAGGCCGGGGTCCACCCAGTTGACTCGCGCGAGAAGTGTTCACTCGCAAAACGAAACACAAAGTCAAAAACATAGAAGTAAACAAAAAACCATATCGGCAAATCAACAAGACAATAGCCATAAATCAAAATATATGCATGATAAACACAGTCTTCGAGAATTTCGGAAGCATCTCTGGTTCTGACTATGTTGAGATCATTTGGGCTGACAAACACCCTCAGGACCCTGGCCAGGTGTCATATCGTGTCGTCGCTGTTCTGTGCTTTGGGATGGAAAAAGAACCAAGCGTGGGGGCGTGTTTTCTCCAGTCTTGGGTGGTGAGAGGCGCACACTGCGTCCTGCCCAGTCTTGTTTCGTCAGATGGCAGATGTTTGACCACCCCACAGTTGATTCTCCGACAAAAACGGAGTACGAGACCTGCTTGGGTGAAGGATTGTGATAGATTCCCAAGATCCAAGCGGTTTATTCCCAAGATCCATTCCCAAGATCCAAGCGGGTTATTCCCAAGATCCCAGCAGGTTATCTCATTTGATGGGGATACCCTTGACACCCCGGCTTTTTCGCCCAGTCCGATTATTTGGGTGTGGGTCAAAGGTACCCAAAAGCCCAACATGGAACCCTGGGTAATGGAACCAAGGACAATCGGTCTGGTCTAATTTTGACCCATAGCCATTTGGATTTCTGGACCTCTCC